TTTGTAGTGAAAAGCAACAATCCCCAGACAAGTCCAAAATACAAAATCAATGTTATTTATGGCTCATATGTTGCAATTGTTTCTGAAGTCACCTATATTTCATCTGTATGTCTCATTTTCTTCTCTTTTTTCATTTCTTTCCATTTTTATGCTGATGAAACAAGATTTTTTGTCTCCCCAGATGTATATTGCTGGTTATTTTCTGATGGTTTAACATGTTTCTTTATCCCCTATACTTCCTATATGTTGGTAGTTATATCTATAGATTCTATGAGAAAGCCTAATAGTTTTATGTCTCAAGGTGCCTTCATAGTTGGTGCAAAATATTTCTACCAGAGGCATATAACCATTGGCAATGTCTCTTTTTGTGCATTTAGCCACAAAATCATTTCTTAGATGTATTATTTCATTAGGAGTTGAAAACTGTTGGTATTCTAACTCCATCATTCCTTTGTCATTTATTAGCCTGAATATAACTAAGAAATGAAACATTGCATAAAGATGTCTAGATTAGAAGTTAGCAAAAATGTGGACTTGGAATTCACTTAAGGGTCAGGCTAATGCTGAGTCTGAAAGCATAAGGTTTAAAGGATATACCAAAGATCAGGCATAGAGATCTGGGGGAGTGACGTAGCTGTAGTTCCATGCTGAGTCCTTTTTCTGGTAAGGCATGTTAGATGTTCAGTAGTCACTGTTTTCATGCAGAGTGAAGACCCACAGGGCAAAGAGCCTGAGATAATAGCCTTGCTGCTATAGTACTGGATTCACAGAAAGTTATAGGGTGCTCTATCAAAACTCATGGGTTCACCATCTTAATGTGTCTTGCCCATAAGGGTGTCTTCAGCACAGAAGTTCTCCCACTGTAGACACAGCTGATTCTCACAGACAATTGGCCTGGAGGTCAATTCCTCCCAGTGATACCAACAACAATCAAGGCTTAACTACAACAAGACTGTGCACACAGCCCACAAAGGGGTGCACCAAGAGTGTCCACATCAGGTAATTGGGGAGGCTGAGCCACTGGGCCCTGTAGGACACCTAGCACAGAAAGCCAGTCTATCAACACAGGGAAGCATAAAAAATGCAGAGACAAAGAAACAGATAACAAATGACAGAAATGAAGGAAAGCAAACTACTGGATATAGAGTTCAAAACCACACTTACAAGGTTTTTCAAGAATTTTCTAGAAACCACTGATAAATTTAGTGAGACCCTCGAGGACATGAAAAAGGACCAACTAGAAATTAAGCATACACTGACTGAAATAAAGAATAATATACAGAGATCCAACAGCAGACAAGAGGATCCCAAGAATCAAGTCAAAGATTTGAAATATGAAGAAGCAAAAAACACCCAACCGGAAAAGCAAAAAGAAAAAAAGAATCCAAAAATATCAAGATAGTGTAAGGAGCCTCTGAGACAACTTCAAGCGTCCCAACATCCGAATTATGAGGGTGCCAGAAGAAGATAGAGAGCAAGATATTAAAAACCTATTTGAAGAAATAATGACAGAAAACTTCTCCTACCTGGTGAAAGAAATAGACTTACAAGTCCAGGAAGCGCATAGAACCCCAAACATAAGGAATCCAAAGAGGACCACACCAAGACACATCATAATTAAAATGCCAAGAGCAAAAGACAAAGAGTGAATCTTAAAAGCAGCAAGAGAAAGACAGTCAATTACCTACAAGGGAGTACCCATACAACTGTCAGCTGATTTCTCAACAGAAACTATGCAGGCCAGAAGGGAGTGGCAAGAAATATTCAAAGTGATGAATAGCAAGAACCTACAACCAAGATTACTTTATCCAGCAAAGCTATCATTCAGAATTGAAGGTCAGATAAAGAGCTTCACTGATAAGAAAAGGCTAAAGGAGTTCATCACCACCAAAGCAGTATTATATGAAATGCTGAAAGGTATTCTTTAAGAAGAGGAAGAAGAAGAAAAAAGGTAAAGGTAAAAATTATGAACAACAAATACATATCTATCAACAAGTGAATCTAAAAATCAAGTGAATAAAAAATCTGATGAACAGAGTAAACTGGTGAATATAATAGAATCAGGGGCATAGAAAGGGAGTGGACTGACAATTCTCGGGAGGGAAAGGGGTGTGGGGGGTGGGGGAAGAGACTGGACAAAAATCGTACACCTATGGATGAGGACAGTGGGGGCGGGTAAGGGCAGAGGGTGGGGTGGGAACTGGGTGGAGGGGAGTTATGGGGGGGAAAAGGAACAACTGTAATAATCTGAACAATAAAGATTTATTTAAAAAAAACTAAGAGTAGGTTTAACTGTGGCAACCACACCTTGGTGAGGAACTTATGTTTTATTTTATATTCATTATGAAGCTTTTAGAAGAGATTAAGCAGATAAAACATATCATTGTATTGGGATTGGCGATCTGCTATGGACCCTGAATGCCCCTATGTCTTCATACTGGGTATGTCAGAAATTCAAAGCCCTGACATCTCATTACTTCAGAAATGTATCAAGGTTGTTTTTGCAGTGAGCAACCCTGAGTGATGAGGTCATGTTCCTGGAGACAGAGAATGGACATGGAACTGCTTACCACAAAAGTGGTGAGTTCCCCAAACTCACGGTCCTCTCCTAAAATGTGTGTGCTGCCACTCACCTAGATCCACCTGCATCACACTCATGGTACTTAGGAGGGCATGAGCAACTGATGTGAATATGAACTGTGGCTATTGCTTTTGCTTTGGCTAATAATATCCCCTTTGTTACCAAACTATAAGTTTTGTGTCTTCTGGTACCATTCCTCAAATAGCAAGTAGTCAAACCTTATTGTTTTTAAGTTGAGTAAAATCTTAGGCCCTTCACTGTTTTTGAAAATTACACCCATCCTATTGGAAATTTTTTTAAATTATAACTTTCTATGGTAGTGGAGATGCAGAGAAAAGGGCCCTCTGTACCATGCTGCAGCCTTTTGGGAAACAATTTGACAGTAATATACATTAGTGTACAATTATTGGTAAATTCATTGAATTTTACAAATCAAATATGTGCAGACTTTGCCTGTCCAGCATACCTCAAAATAGTGGTTTAAAAAGGATATACAACATCTAATACAAATTATATACATGCATTTTAGTGTGAAATCTCATTTCTGGGATCTATCCTATAAATATAAGAGTATACATACAAAGGTTTTCATTAAAGCACTCATGATAGTTAATACTGAATGCCCATCAAGAGAGTAATTTTTCAAGCTTTCAAGGAGAGCAGTTAAATCTCCATTTATGGATCTGAAAATATTATCATCATGTGGGTTTTTTTAATGAGAGGAAGGGAAAGAGAGAGAGGAGAGAGAGAGAGAAAGAAACATCAATCGGTTGCCTTCTGTACACCTGGACCGGGGATCAAACTGATAACCTGGGTATGTGCCCTGACTGGGAATCAAACCCTAAACCTTTCTGTGTACTGTACAATGCTCCAACCAACTGTTCCACACCAGCCTGGGCCATATATTGTTAACTGTGGAAAATAAAATGTAGAGTGTGATTCATTTTTGTGGTAGAAATAACTCAAACCATATAAAGCAATCCTATCAACAGAAAGGAGTGGGCAAGCAGAAACAGTAGATATTCACATTGGTTATCTGTCTTGAAATGGGGATGTGGATAGAAAACAAAAGGGAGAAAAGGAATACATTGCCTACTCTAGGTGCATGGACACCAAAAGTCCTATTACAGGAAACACTCTAACTAACCCTGACCACTGGAATGTCCCACAAGAAGGGCCTTCTGTGCTGCCAGTGTGGCTCAGTGGTTGAGCATGCACCTGTGAGCCAAGAGATCACCTTTTTTAAAAATATATTTTATTGATTTTTTACAGAGAGGACGGGAGAGGGATAGAGAGTTAGAAACATCGATGACAGAGAAACATCGATCAGCTGCCTCCTGCACATTCCCTACTGGGGATGTGCCCGCAACCAAGGTACATACCCTTGACCGGAATCAAAAGTGGGCCTTTCAGTCCGCAGGCCGACGCTGTATACATTGAGCCAAACTGGTTAGGGCAGGAGGTCACCTTTTGATTCCCATCAGGGCACATGCCAGGTCTACAGGCTCAATCCCCAGTAGGGGTGTGCAGGATGATTCTCTCTCATCACTAATGTTTCTATCTCTCTCTCCCTCTCCCTTCCTCTCTCTGAAATCAACAGAAAATATATTTACCCTTAGCCAGTTTGGCTCAGTGGATAGAGCGTCAGCCCTCGGACTGAAGGGACCCTGTTTCGATTCCCATCAAGGGCACCTATCTCCATTGCAGGCTCTAGCCAGGTCCCAGTCCGGGTGCCTGTGGGAGGCAATCAGTCAATGTGTTTCTCTCACATAGATGTTTCTCTCTGTGTATGTCTCTCCCCTTCCCTTCCACTCTTTCTAGAAATCAGAGGAAAAATATCCCCAAGTGAGGATAAACAAAAATGAATAAACTTTAAAAACAAAAAACATTTTTTAAAAAATTTTTAAAGAAGAAGAAGGGCCCTATATGGCCCACAATGATCATCCCAATGCTCCTTTAGCAAGCAGCCCTCATAGGTGAAGAGAGAGTGGGTACAATGGCCCAAGGACATCAAGCACTGCCAGCAAGAAGAGGGCCCCTTCAGAAACTGCTGTTTAGTAGTAAAACTGCCCCCTGGTGTAGAGAGAAGGGGGGATGAGGGCCTAGAAAAAAAACTTGGGTGTATGCGCCCTTCCCCTCTCCATCTCTTGCCCTCACCCAGGCTCAGCCCCTCATCTTCCTCCAAGCCCACTTCTTAGCACTGTGCTGAGAGGAGCAGCCGCCTTTCCCCCACCCTCTGGGCTAATCCCAGGTTCTGGTTTGCTGGGGTGGGGCCCAATCCTGAGTGAGGTGTCACACACAGTGCTGCTTTATTAAGCCCCGGACTTGTCCTGAGGCAGCAGGACGAAGCCTGGACGCGGAATCTGTGTCTGGTATCAGTAACAGAACCTCTGACACCCAGGCGAGCCCACCTGCTGCCATGGGCCGCTACCGCATCCACGTGGCCACCGGGGCCTGGATCTTCTCTGGGTCTTTCAACCACGTGCAGCTGTGGCTGGTCGGGGAGCGCGGGGAGGCAGAACTGGAGCTGCAGCTGCGGCCAGCGCGGGGCCAGGTGGGCAGGAAAGCTGCGACTCAGACACCCTGGCTGGGCTCCCCGCATGAGGGCGGGCAGGACGCTGGAGGCGAGGAGCCAGTGATGGGCATCCGTGCTGGAACTTCTAGTGAGAAGGGACGCCAGCATCTGGGTGGGTGAGAGGTTCAGAGCCAGAGCCAGGCTGGGCTCAACCCCTCTCTCCCTGTCCGAGTCTGTGGTCCTCACAGCCTCCACTACTTCCCTAATTGATGCCAGGCCAGTATCACTCTGGGGTCAATGGTCAAAGGGAAAGTCCTCCGAGAGCGCGGGCGCGGTGAGAGCTGTTCATGGGCAGGGTAGGTGATGATGCTCAGTCCTCAATTAAAAAAACACTCAGGGTCTCAACCCCGCGTTCCAGGTCTACCAGGTTCTGTCCCCCACAGGTGGAGGAGTTCGAACAGGACGTTCCCCAGGACTTGGGGCCACTGCAGTTCGTGAAGTTGCGCAAACACCACTCCCTGGTGGACGACGCCTGGTTCTGCGACCGCATCACCGTGCAGGGCCCAGGAGCCTTAGAGGAGGCCGCCTTCCCCTGCTACCGCTGGGTGCAGGGCGAGGGCGTGCTGACCCTGCCCGAGGGCACCGGTGAGGGGCCGCCTCAGGGAAGTGGGTGCGGGGCCCAGGGAGTAGTGGAGGTGGAGGGAGACAGGGATATCACTGAGGAAGGCCCTAGGGATTGAGAAAGTACATGCTCAGTAGGTTAAAGGTGGCCAAGACAGGAAAATAGGGAAAAGTTAAACATATAATTACAAAGGCTGGAAGTGGGACTGGACAGGGAAATGAGTGATGTGTAGATCCTACCTCCCACAAAGGTGAGCAAGGGAATGGGAGGTGCAGCCACGCTGGGAAACAGAAGAGCTAAAGTAAAGTGGAAAGGAATCTCCGTGTGACTGGGAACCAGTGAGGGCAGGGACAGGTAAGGCTAGCACATGTGGCCCCTGAGAGGAGGCAGGGAAGGGAAGCAAATAAATGATATGACGTGGAGAGCGGGTTTGTGAAGAGTTGTGTTCCATGTTCTCATGAAAGAAAACTGTGAGGGCAGGGAGCGAACTGCCTGGGGAGGGGAGGGTGGGGAATATGAATGAGGACAGCAAAGGGAGAATCTGTTACCGATGAGGGCAGGGTTAAGCCAGGTTACCAACTATAAACTATGTGAAGTTGAGGACAGGTGAGATGAAACTAGGTAAAGTAGCAATGTGGATCCATTATTTGGTTTGGCGCACATAGAATACCTTATCCCAGAGAACAGGAGACAGTGGAAGTAGGTTGAGGTCAGAGGAGGTAAGTGTACTTCACTTGAAATATGTCATTTTGGAGAACAGCTTAATGTGTGGACAGGAAAGAACCAGGCCAGGGGAAATTAACAAAGGAATATGGAGTAATGTAGGATAAGTATGGACATTCCAGCTGATTAAGAATGAAATTTATAGATACTGTGATGAAGAACAAGGGTAGATAGAAAAATTTTAGTTAAGGTTTACAATAAGGTGTCAAAAATTGGATTTTCCTCTCAGGAAAAATATGAGATTGAAGATTGGTGAAATTAAGAAAAGGGAGTGGGGAAAGGTGAATGACTAGGGAACTAAGCAGAGGAGACAGGGACAGAGAAAAAATCAAAAGAGTACGATGCCATACAGTTAAGAAATAGGAGATTGGGATCCCACTTCCAGGAATATATCCTAAGAAGCCCTAAACACCCATCAGAAAGAATATATGCACCCCTATGTTCATTGTAGCATTATTTACAATGCCTAAGATCTGGAAATAGCTCAAGTGCCCATCATTAGATGAGTGGATAAAAAAGCTGTGGTGTATTTACACAATGGAATAATATGCAGCTGCAAACAATAAGGATTTCTTACCCTTTGCAACAGCATGGATTGACCTGAAGAATATTATGCTGAGTGAAATAAGCCAGTCAGAGAAAGACAAGTATCATATAATCTCACTTATAAGTGGAATCTAATGAACACAATAAACTGAACAAAATAGATCCAGAGACATAGAAGCATGGAGCACACTGACATACTCAGAGGTGGGGTGGGGAGTGAGGGGAGATGGGAAGAGATTAAAACCAAAGAACTTATAAATATATATGCATGTATAACTATGGGTACAGCCAGTAGTGTGGTGAAGACCTCAAGTGGGGCAGGGGCAAGGAGGGGGGTAGAAAGGAGGGAATAATTGAGGGACATCTATAATACTGTCAACAGTTAAAAATAAAAATAAAGAGGATACTGGAAGAAGTCAGGGCATAGCAGGAGATTGAAGAAAGCATTGAGGAGAATTGCTTTGATGTCTCCCCAGCCCGCCTGGCAGGAAAAAATACCTTGGATGTGTTCCAGAAGCATCGAGAAAAGGAACTGGAGGAAAGACAGCAAATCTACTGGTGATCACCCTATTAGAAGCCTCCCAATTATAACCCCCTTCCCTGACAACTTCCTCCTTCAATGACTTCTACCCCCTCCATTAACCTTTGTCCCCATATCCTAGCTGGGCCACCTGGAAGGAAGGGTTACCCATGAAACTTGCTGCAGGCAGTATAGATGATCTGCCTTCAAATATGAGATTCCATGAGCAGAAGAGGCTGGACTATGAGTGGACAGTGATTGCAGGGTGAGGAAATGGTCAGAGTGAGGTGGGGCTGGTGGATCCAGGAACAGGTAGGATTTGGTAAATTGGTGGTTTCATCTTTGATATCTGCTCTAGGCATATGGAGATGGTCCTCAAATATGTTTACACCTTCCCAAGCTCCTGGAAACGCCTGGAAGATTTTGATCAGATCTTCTGGGGACAAAAGACTGCCATGGCTGGTCAGTGGTTTTCCCAGGTTCCTATCAATGAGGTATGTGTCACATTCCATAGTCCCCAAAACTTCTTGCCAAAAAAGAACTTACACCTGGAGATCTCACAACGGCCTCATGAATGAAAATATGTGGGCTGGGTATGAAGGAGTCATGTGACTAAATCCCTATATTAGAGCCTGAAGGAGAGGAACATCAGGTTGTGGTGAATATCCTCCTCCTAACCTCCACTCTCACCCCACAGAGAAGGTTCACCAGCGCTGGCAGGATGATGAGCTTTTTGGCTACCAGTTCCTCAATGGCGCCAACCCCATGGTGTTGAGACGCTCCACCTCTCTGCCCTCCCGGCTGGTGCTGCCCTCGGGGATGGAAGAGCTTCGGGCCCAGCTGGAGAAAGAACTCCAGGTACAGCCTCCAGCCCTTGATTGTCTTCTCCTTGTCTGTGAGAGGAGTAGAGGTGGTGAAGGGGAGGGACCAAAGTTGAGTCTGGAAAGGGAGGCTGTGGTAACCCACTGTCCCTGGGTGTAGAGTCCTCTGCTGGAAAAACTTAGAGGTGATGATGTGGGGAAAAGCTTCGAAGCTGGATTCTGCCAATAAAGCTGACCATTAGGAGATGGTGGGGAAAGGAGCTTGGGCAGCCTGACAAGGGGAGAGCTTGGCATACCTGTGCTACAGAATCAACTGGCATACTTAGTCCTAATACTACCTCTGACACAGACAAGCTGCATGTCTCTAGGGAAGACTCCTTTCATGGGGTCTTAGTCCTCCCTGTAAAATAAGAGAACTTGAACTTGATGTTCTGGTGCTTCCTTCAGTTCAGCCACTGGGACTCAGGTACTCATGTAGGATAATGGCAAGAAAAGAGAGTGACTGTCTTTACATTCTTCCCCTTTGCCTTGGCCATGGGGAAGAATGCTTTCAACTCTAACCATAGGTACATTCCTCTTTCCTTAGAAAGGTTCCCTGTTTGAGGCTGACTTCATCCTACTGGATGGAATTCAAGCCAATGTGATCCAAGGAGAGCAGCAGTACCTGGCTGCCCCCCTTGTCATGCTGAAGATGGAACCCAGTGGGAAGCTGCTACCCATAGTCATCCAGGTGAGGTGTTCTGAGAAACCTCCTCCCAACACTGCTCTGTGTTCATCCCCAACCTCTACCATGGGACACAGACAGCAGGCTCTTGTCGCCCACCCCTGCATCATTCAGTGACACCTGTCCTTATATCCAATATCTCCTTTCTACCTTACAGTCTACTCACTACTCACCTGAAATTGCCTCTTTGAGAGTTAGAATGCACTCTGTCGGTTCTCACCATAAGGCTAATTAATCTCTTTTTGACCTATGATTCTGTGGAATATTCCTTCTTTCTTATACATATTTTCTCCTTTGGTGGTAATATGTTTTCATTCTTACTGTTCTCATCAATCAGTTGATAAGAACTGTCAGTTATCTCACATGTCCAACTTCTCCTTTCGATTCTACCATCCTAACTCACACCCTCATCAAGTTTCTCTCAATCATACTGCATTCCCTCTTTCCAATTCCTCCTGCTTTGAACCTGACCATCATGGCACTGACACGTCCCCACAGCACTTAAGAGGGTGAGTGGAGGGGCCTTCATCCTCCTACTATATTATAATCCCTGGGAGACAATAATCTTAGTCACCAGTGTTTCCTCAGAATAATAAGCATAGTTTCTAACAGGATGAAGCCAGTGAATGCTTAGCTCCTCTTTGTTTCAGATCCAGCCTCCCAGCCCCAGCTGCCCCACCCCACCACTGTTCCTGCCCTCAGATCCTCCACTTGCCTGGCTCCTGGCAAAGACCTGGGTCCGAAGTTCAGATTTCCTTGTTCATGAGACCCAGTATCACTTGCTGAACATTCATATGCTGGGTGAGGTCATCGTTGTGGCCACCATGAGGTGCCTCCCAGGACTGCACCCTGTCTTCAAGGTACATCCTCTACCCTCCATGTCCCATCTCCCTCACATCCCAGAGGAAGGAAACAAAGCAACAATTCTCTAGGATTTAAAAAGCATAAGCCACTTATTTGGAAGGAAGTTAAGAAAGTTTCTTCTAATTGAATGAGTGTCCATGTTATTGGGATAAAAAATCTTTATAGCAATTTGTGAACAGAAAAGAGGAAATTATTGTGTCAGGACCTTGCCCTTGTGGCTTTATTTCTAATGTTTAAATTATTTAATTTTGAGATAATCATAGATTCTTATGCAGTTTGAATAATACAGAGAGATGCCATCTATTGTATTAAATCAAGTTACTTAGCAAATATTCAGCACTTATTCTACAGCAGCTCTGATATTCTCCAGCAGAGTTTGCTGTAGAGCAAGGATATAATTTGATAAACAAAAGTATTGATCTGCTTTCACAGAGCTAGCATTTAACTAGCAAGAAAATGATACACATAAAAAAATAACCAGAGAACAGAATCTGGATATAAAGTTGAAATCAAGACAGAGAACAATAAACACTATATTTTTGATGGAGAATGTTCCACCACAATTTAGGATTCATTAAGTAGAAGGCCAAAGGGAGAAAAGACCAGCCCAAGAGGTTATTTAACCTGCCCAATAAGAGGTGCATGACATGGTAGTTAGATCAACGGAAAGGAAAATGCAAAGACCTTGTGATGAGAGGAAATAGTAGTTGCAGCATGCCTGGGTGCAAGATTGGAGGGAAAGCTCCGAGGTCTGAGCTTCTGCAACAACTAGGAGCCCTCCCATTCAATACAGGTGTATTGATCCAAAAATATTGTAATTTTATAAAATAGTGAGCCTAGAATCTATTGCTAACCAGAAGATATAAAAAATAGCCATGTGCTTGCTTTAAAAACATTCTTGAAATCTTGATGACACCAGCAGTAGGAGCAAAAATCGTACAAGCTTATGAACCAGAACAGTTGTCAGAAACAATACATTCAGCAGAAGCCCATTTTCAAGTCAAAGATGATATGTTCAGTTTTAGATACATGGAGTTTGAAGTGGTAGCAAGATATGTGAGTGCATGCTGGGTAGAATGTCTGAATTGTGTTTCTTCCAGGAGTCCCAACCTTCATCTCCAAACCTGTCCATTGGTAGCAGTGACCCCTTTGGGTCCTGAGGTAACATAGACAAGATAGACCTTAACAGAATTCTGTGATGTTGGAATTAATTGACTTTATGATGCTTTTGCATCACCATCTTCTGTATATCTCAGTGATTGAACCAACTTTTACATTTCAAAATCCCCCTTCCACAGCCCCTCTACACCTGTCTCCCCTCACCATAACATCTTCATCCCACAGCAAACAACTGAGTTGTTATCAGGCCACCCAGAGGGCTAGGCCTGCCCCCTTCTTAAAGGTTACCTGTGCAGGCTGTGCATTCAGACTGCTGGTGTTTGGATCCTGAATCCTGGACTCAGTTCTTACCTGATGTGCGCTCAGGGTCCTCATCTCAAAATGGGGATAATGGGCACTCTATCGTGGAGGTGAATAACAGCGTTATATAGACTAAATGCGACAACAAATAGTAGTTCTTGCTATTATGGTTAGTTCTTTGGCTTCTGGTTGCTTCCCTCCTCATGTAGACTTTGGGTTTCCTGTGACACTCAGCATCTTTAATGGTCTTTCTGGGGTTTCAGACCAATGTGAGTTGCTTTGTTATGTTGGTACCAATGATATCAGTTGGGCCCTTCCCTCTCTGCAGCATCAACAACTCACATAAATACCAATATTGCATGAATCCTCCATCTCAGGTTAAAGAAGAAATTGTCTAAAACAAACTGAAATGCACAAGAGGATCAGATGGCTGTTCCAAAGGGCAAAGGGAAAGCAGGAGAGAGAGCCCTAACTGTGCCTAATTGGAGGTGGGAGGTGATTTGACAACAAATTTTTGCTGTTAAAGAGGGTAGATCAATATTGGTCCTTAAATTCTGACTGAAAGTACCCTACCCATCCCAATCCCTGAAATTTTAAAAACGCATACTAAAACAACTAGAGGTTGGAGGAGCAGCTTTGAAAATTAGTAGAAAGGCAAGTTTAAACTGTATGGATGTGTATGCTAGAAAAATTATTTTAAAATATCAAAAGTTAAAGGACTGATTCTCAAAGGACACCTATACTCAAGGTAGGAATAATAAACGTAATGATAAGAGCTACTATTAAAGGATGTCTGTGTGATAGGCAATATACTGAACACTCTCATACATTATACATATGTTATACATATAAGGATCACTACAGCACCGCGTGATGAGACCCTATTGTTATCCCATGTAAAGAGATAAAGAGATGGACGCTTAGAGGGTTTATTATCTTGGTCAAGTATCAAAATAAGTGGTGAAGATTAAAATCCTGGTCAGTCAGACTCCAAAGTTCAACTCACAGAGCAATGGGAGAACATGAGACTAAGAGATCAGAGAGGGAGGAGACTATCTGGCAAAAGCACCAGCAGGTAGGAAAGCAACAAGAGGGAGAGAAAGCCAAGCATGTTGTACATAAACCACCCCCTCCAACCTTCTCCATCAAGCTCCTGATCCCACACACCCGCTACACCATGGACATCAACACGAGGGCACGGAACCAACTCATCTCAGATGGAGGAATATTTGATAAGGTAAGGAGGTGGATTGTGGGACCACCTACTCACCCAAGTCTGCATAATGTCCTGTCACTTTCAACATTCCAAGCCCCCCTGTGTGACTGTTCTGACCCTTTAACCCAGGAGCCTTGTCCCTTTATCCCAATGTCTTTGAATCTGAAAAGGCCACATCTGACCACTTTATATAGTATGCCATGTTCTCCAGCTCTGTTTGTCCCCTCAAGTCCTCTCATTTCTATTGGCACAGGGATGGAGCACCGGTGGAGGGGGCCATGTGCAGTTGATGCGTCGGGCCATGGCTCAGCTGACCTACCGCTCCTTCTGTCCTCCTGATGATCTGGCTGACCGAGGCCTGCTGGGCATCCCAAGTGCCCTCTATGCCCATGATGCTTTACGGCTCTGGGAGATCATTGCTCGGTGGGTGAGAGTTGGAGAAATAAAAGGTATTAGGAACAGTGAGAATGGGGCTTTAACCTGAGGTCACCATGAGGCCAAAGGAATATGAAATAAGAAAGTCCAGAGAGGAGAAGCAAAAGAGTCAATTGAGAAGAGATAAGGAACAGTGAGGAGATGGTGGGTAGGGTCTGAGGATGGGAAGGTTGAAATAAACAGTGTAAGTAGGCAGACTTGTGTGGGTGAGTGAAACCATGTGATCTGGTGGAATCAGGGATTTTGTTATGAAGAGTGACTATAAACCATGTGTTTGGAATTCTTTTTCTTTATTATTTAATATATTTGTACGATTTCAGAGGGGAAGGGAGAGGGAGAGAGAGAAAGAAACATCAATGATGAGAGAATTATTGATTGGCTTCTGCCTGCTAGCCCCTCCTGGGGATCTAGCCAGCAACTCAGGCATGTGCCCCAACTGGGAATTGAACTGTGACCTCCTGGTTCATAGGTCCACACTCAACCACTGAGGCACATTGGCCAGGCAGAATTCTTAAAACCAATGTCACACATTTCCTTCTTTTCTAACTAGTGTGTAGAAAGAGCTCCGGAATGTCCCAAAAGGCAAATCTTGTCAGATCTGTTCCCAGGTACAGTGAGAATCAGCTTGATAGAGTCCACAGAAAAGGAGTAGCAGCCAGAGGCTAGAGCTAGACGCTAGAGCCTTCTACTCTCAAGGAGCTCAGCTCCCTTCTCTGGGCAGGTACGTGGAGGGGATTGTCCACCTCTTCTACCACGGGGATGACATCGTGAGAGGGGACCCTGAGCTGCAGGCCTGGTGTCGGGAGATCACTGAGGTGGGGCTGTGCCACGCCCAGGACCGAGGTAAGATCCCTCCCTAGAGAAGGGAGCTCCTTAGACCAGTGGTTCTCAACCTTCTGGCCCTTTACAGTTCCTCATGTTGTGACCCAAACATAAAATTATTTTTGTTGCTACTTCATAACTGTAATGTTGCTACTGTTATGAATCATAATGTAAATATCTGATATGCAGGATGGTCTTAGGAAACCCCTGTGAAAGGGTCATTCGACCGCCAAAGGGGTCGCGACCCACAGGTTGAGAACCGCTGCCTTAGGCCCTCTGACCAGAAGCCTTTTTCAGCTTTGCTCTTCTGGGAACATAACCCCAACCCCTCATCAGCCCCTGTCCCTCCACACATGGAGCATCTTATTCCCATTCCCACTTCCTAAGTCTCAGGACAATTCTAGAAACCCAAGGACTGTCCTCCTCAGAGATCCCATGCCTCTTCTTAGATGCCTCTAACCTGCCATAGGGACTAATAAGGCCAGAACCATAGTCAATAGGGAGTCTGCCCAGGCCCTGCCAGGTTCTCTTCTAATTATTGTCTATTTTCCTACTTAAGCATAGAATAAGGAGATTATTCCCATCAAAGCCCATGAAATCCCACCCTAGCTTTTCCTCCCCTTTCCTTCTTGCTACCATCTGACACTCTCAGAGGATCCAGACATCCTGCATGCCTGCCAAGTGCAGGGCCATTTCTAGATGTAGTCTCAATACTGTATATATTTTAACTTAAACCCAAACTCAGTACCATGATCCTTGGGACCAAGCTTCTTAGGCAAAAGTGCCCTCCTACCAGTGAACTACCTTCAAGTCCTCTACCCCATTAAAAAAAATTTTTTATTCATTGATTTGAGAAGAAGGGTGAGAGAGAGAGAGATAGATACATCAATTATGAGAGAGAATCATTGATCAGCTACTTCCTGCATGCCTCACACTTGGGATCAGCTGGCAACCCTGCACATGCCCTGAACAGAATCTAACCATGACCAGGTTTATAGGTCAATGCTCAACCACTGAGCCATGCCTCACACGGGCCTCTACCCCATTTTTTAATCCATAACAAAGAAATAGCCTTTCTTGAGCTCTTCCTAGATTCATATTCCTCTCTCTAGTACACATAGGCCAGCTGGAACTGTTTTGAATCATCCTTTAGCTCCTTCCCCCTTCACTCTTCACACCAATACCTTGAATCCCTTCACCCTCCATGCAATAACTGTAGCCAACAGCTAAGAGCTATTACTTATAACCAGGCCCTGAGAATGCACACTTCATTAAACCACATCCCTACCAGGGAGTGAAGTCATATCTCAAAGTATCTGGGACTGTACCTTCCCCATTCATCCATGAACACCTCAAAAGCCCTTCATGACCAAAATCTCTGTAGTAGATCTCATATCTGTCAACCAGGCTCCACATGATCCAAGAGACCCTTCTCATTCTCTTTCATGCTTCTCCCCATGAAATATCCACATCAGAGCACTTGTAACACTTATTTGATTATGAGCTTTAACTTCCTGCACCCACACTGTTCTCCCTCAGCTTCCATGGTTCTCTTTGTGCCATCATTCTCTCATCACCCTCATTAAAGGCAGTGCGTTAAGATTTTCTCTTCCTAGACCTATGCCTTGAGAAAGCCATTTAATCTCTTTGACTTTTAATATCCTTTCTCTTAAGTGAATATAACTCTTGTCCCAAATGAAATAATGAATGTGAAAAGTAGAAACATGTGTAAAACAATCAATCCTATATAATAAAGAGCTAATATGCTAATTAGACAGGACAGTGGAACAACCTTCCAGAACAACCAGTGGGTGGGGGGCGGGGCCAGTGAGCCTGCACGCCAGGCCAGCAATGGTGGTCCCAGCACTGCCCCTTTGGAAGAGGCGGTGGGAGAGGGGGCAGCACAGTCTGGTGCCTCCACAGAGGCAGGATGGGGCGGGACTACAGCACCTCAACCTCACACGGGCCCTCCCCCCACCAGCCCGGCCCCCGATTGCCCCCCCCCCAGACCCTCCCGCCACCAGTGGGCAGGGAGCAGGGACAGCACTAAGGAGCAGTGAGCCAGCTTCTGGTTGAACAGCACTCCCACCCCCGAACCCAGGCTCACAGCTGGCAAGTGCAGCAGTGATGGCGGGAGCCTCTCCTGCCTCCACAGCAGCGCTAAGAATGTCCAACTGATGGCTCCCAGACTGCAAAAGGGCACAGGCCAGGCTGAGGGACCCCTCCCCGCGCACCACCCTGCATGAATTTTGTGCCCCGGGCCTCTAGTGTAAAAATATTGTGATCATATGCCACATTCCAAAAACTTACCTCCCCAATTTAATCAGCAAGTGTAAACTCCCCGAGCAGCATCTCAACTGTAAATTGAATGGAACAGGACAGTGAATTGATGCTGTTCCAGCTCCAACATCAGTCTATGACTTCTCTTTTTTTCTGCATTATAGCCCAGATACCTGAATCTACTTTCTGGAAATAGGAGAGCAACCTCGGTTTTCTTAACTGTTTTGCGGGAGAGTGAAAATTGTATTAAAATAAAATAAACCTAGAGATAAGTTAATATTATATGTCATTGGCCTACAAATTGAACTTTTAGTGAGGTGACATACCTATCAAAGAACAAACAGCTCCCCAAGAAACCCCTTGCCCATCCAAAGTTAACCACTTCATACTGTGCAGGTTTTACCTGTTTGAACGTTACACAAATGAAAACACAAAAATGCACTCATTAATGTCTCAAAATACATTTAAAAATTACCCATGCTGTTATGAAATGGAGCATGTAGTTCATTGTTCTCATGTATATTATTCCACTTTGTGAAGATGATGGACTTTATTGTTTCCTTTCTCCCATTGACGGGCATTTGGTTTGTTTCCATTTTGAGGCCATTAATGTCATTGCTGCTGTGAACAATGTCATGTGTACAATTCTGTTGGGTGTGTATCTAGAAGTGAAATTGATGGTCATAGGATATGGGTATGTACAGTTTTCTGACAGTTTTCCAATGTGCTTGTATACATTTACTCGCCCTCCACAGAGTATGACGTATAGTCAGTATCTTCTCAAATATTTGAAAAAATACTTTGGTCATATTGTGAATATGTTGTATTTTCACATTTGAGTTTAAATTGTATTCTCCCAGGGACTGGTAGAACCGAGGAACTTGTCCTAGGTTTAGTAGCCACAGGTTTATCCTCCTTTGTGTAGAACCTGTTATTCCTTTTTGCCATTTTATTTTGGGTTGTCTACCTCTCTCCTGTTACTTTTAACCACTTTTGAACACTGGATATTTGACCAACCAGCCTCTCGGTCCTGCCCACTCCCCACCTTATAAACATACCTACAATGGACTGAGGGGCTTTGCATGAACCGTCCCTTTATAAGGTAACTATTATTATCTCTATTTTCATAGTAAAATAAATAGCAGCTCAGAGAAGCTAAGCAGTCAGTCCAAGGTAATGCAGTTAATCAGCAGCAAAGCAAGGACTGGTCTCTTGATTAAATTATTAACTACCCCCTTTACATCTCCTATCTCCCTTTCCTGCTTTACTTATATTCTTATCACTACCTAACAAACTGTGTGTAATTTGACTTAGTTATTCTGTTTATTATTATTATTATTTTCTATTACAGTCTATTTTGTCCACCAACATATTCAGACTGCCTATATAATATCTGGTACATAGTAGTTCATGACTTTTTGAATAAATGAATGAATGAACACTAACTAATTCTAACATAAAGACATGCCACGATATCAGCATTTACTTCCTTATCTCCTTTGGAACTGCACTGTCTAAGCTTTGTTCTTTTCTCTAGGTTTCCCTGTCTCCTTCCAGTCTCGGGCTCAGCTCTGCCATTTCCTTACCATGTGCATCTTCACATGCTCTGCCCAGCATGCAGCAGTCAACCAGAGTCAGGTCTGGACAACTGAGAGCCTGGGTCTGTGAGAGGAAGTGTCTGGTCTAGGGGACAGTTGAGGAACAGAGTTGGGGGCTAGGGTCCTGAATCAGAGTTTCTGAGTGATTGCAGATTCTTCTTCTTCTAGTTGGACTGGTATTTCTGGGTCCCTAATGCCCCAAGCTCAATGCGGATGCCCCCACCCACCACCAAGGAAGATGTCACAATGGACACAGTGATGGGCTCATTACCGAATGTCTGGCAGACCAGTCTTCAAATGACTTCCATATGGCTCCTTTGCCATCCACAGCCAGACAAGGTGAGAGGGGACCTCTGGGATTCTGAGGGGACTGATGACTGACAAGGAGACTTTAGGGTGAGGGACTGGAGTTTGGGTCCCTTTTTCTTAGAACTAGAAGATGATTGATCCTTTCTTTCTCCTTCAGGTACCACTGGGGCATCACCAAGAAGAGTATTTCTCAGGTCCTGAGCCCAAAGCTGTTTTAAGGCAGTTTCAGACAGATTTGGATAAACTGGAAAAGGAAATCGTGGCCCGGAATGAGCAGCTAGACCTTCCCTATGAACACCTGAAGCCCAGCCTCATAGAGAACAGTATCACTATTTGAACCTAAATCATTCACCCTTTAAATACTAGAGGCCACCACCATAGTTAATATTTTCCACCTGATTTTTTCTGTTTCCATGGGTCTGAGTTGCTATGGTTCTATTTTCTCCTCTTGAGTTCCCTACCTAAATATCTCACCAACTTGAAACCAACTCCCTTAGAGAAATCAAATATCTACCCATGTAATGTTTTCTTTTCTCTGGAAATTTTGCCTTCTCCATTCATCAATAAATCATTGTAGCCCTAGCCGGTTTGGCTTAGTGGATAGAGCGTCAGCCTGTGGACTGAAGGGTCCTGGGTTCAATCCCGGTCAAGGGCACATGCCTGGGTTGCAGGCTCGATCACCAATGGGGGCCTTGCAGGAGGCAGCCAATCAATGATTCTCTCTCATCATTGATGTTTCTATCTCTCTCTCCCTCTCCCTTTTTCTCTGAAATCAATAAAAAAAATATTTTAAAAAAATAAAAATAAATCATTATATAATGACATTACATTATCATTGACATAAGTGATTCAAAAATGTGTTTTAATGGTGTAGCTAATTTTTTAATACAGTGGAAGATAGAAGTCAATTCTATATCTTTTTTTCTGCTCTGGATAATTTATCACAGCACTGTTCATTGAAAACCCCATCCCTCCCATTAATCTAGAACACTGACATAGATTAAGTTGCCATCTATGAATTAATTAGTTCTCAGCTTTCCAGTAGTTATAACCACACTCACATAACTGCTACAGCTTTATACTTAACACTAGAGGCCCGGTGCACGAATTCGTGCACCAATGGAATCCCTCCACCTGGCCTGCGGGATCAGGCTGAAACCAGCTCTCTGACATCCCCCAAGGGGTCCCGGATTGCAAGAGGGCATAAGCCAGGCTGAGGGACCCCACCAATGCACGATCGGGGCCGGGGAGGGACACGGGAGGTTGGCCAGCCAGGTAGGGACCACGGGAGGGCTCCAGGGCACGTCCAGCCCATCTTACTCAGTCCCGATTGGCCAGACCCCGGCAGCAAGCTAACCTACCGGTCAGAGCATCTGTCCCGTGGTGGTCAGTGCACATCATAGCAACTGGTCAACCGGTCAACTGTTTGCCCCCTGGTGGTCAGTGCACGTCATAGCGAGCAGTCGGGTGGGAGGAGGAAATTAGCATATTACACTTTGATTGGTTGAATGGCCAACTGGAAGTCCGGACACTTAGCATATTCAGCTTTTATTATATAGGATAGCACTCTTATTCAACATAGCACTGGAAGTCCTAGCCACAGTGATCAGACAAGAAGAAGAAATAAAAGGCACCAAAGATATCCAAATTGGAAAGGAGGAAGTAAAACTCTCATTACTCACAGATGACATGATATTGTACATAGAAAACTCTAAAGATTCCACCAAAAAACTACTAGATTTAATGAATGAATTTGGCAATGCAGGAAGATACAAAATTAACACACAGAAAATCAATGGCAGTTTTATACACCAATAATGAATTCTCAGAAAGAGAACCTAAACAAACAATCCCATTTACCATTGCAACAACAACAAAAATTAAGATACTTAGGAATAAACTTAACCAAGGAGGTAAAAGGCTTGTACTTGGAAATCTACAGGGCGTTGAAAAAAGAGATAGAGGAAGATATAAACAAATGGAAGAATATACCATGTTCATGGATTGATAGAATTAACATCATTAAAATGTCCATACTACCCAAAACAATTTATAGATTCAATGAAATCTCTATTAAAATACCAACAACATATTTCACAGATCTAGAACAAATACTCCAAAAATATATATGGAACCCCCCCCCAAAAAAAGACCCCAAATAGCAGTAGCAATCTTGAGAAAGAAGAACAAAGTTGGAGGAATCATAATCCTGGATATCAAGTTATACTATAAAGCTACTGTAATAAAAACAGCCTGGTAATGGCACAAGAACAGGCATATAGATCAATGAAACAGAACAGACTCCAGAAATTGACCCAAGCCATTATGCTCAATAAATATTTGACAAAGGAAGCAAGAGCATACAATGGAGTCAAGACAATCTCTTCAATAAATGGTGTTGGCAACAAAATGAAACTAGAACAACTTACACCATATACAAGAATAAACTCAAAACGGATAAAAGACTTAAATGTAAGTCATGAAACCATAAAAATTCTAGAAGAAACCACAGGCAGAAAAATCTCAGAAATCTCTCGTAGCAATATGTTTGCAGATACATCTCCTAAGGCAAGGAAAACTAAGGAGAACATAAACAAATGGACCACATCAACATAAAAAGCTTCTGCATAGCAAAAGAACCCCAAATAGCCCAACTATCATATAAAGAACAAATTGGAGGACCCATATTTTGTAATTACAAAAAAATACTACAAAATTACAGTAGTCTAAGCAGTGTGGTACTGAAATATAAACAGACATATAGCCCAATGGAGCACAATACCTTGCTCAGGAAGAAAATTTTATATATACAGATAGTCAAACAATTTTCAACAAGGACATCAAGACCATTCAATTGGGGAAGGGATGTCTTTTCGACAAATGGTGCTATTGAAAGGGCGAGGGCTATGCCCTCCATCTTGCCTGTATCCTCCATGTTGGGGCCACGTGCGGCCTTCTTCCCGGAAGCCCAGGCCTCTGCTGGCCACGCCCGGGATTTTAAACTAACCAATGACAATCAAGGGAAGTGCGCGCCATAGATATGACCACATCCTGTGTAACAAGACCCGGCTTGCGCCTGGCCAATCGGCAGAGCACAGTCCTTTCTCCTCCCCTTACTCCAACCCCCCCTATATAACCGGTCTCTAGGCGGGGTTCTCTCTCTTTGCCACTTGGCTTGTCGTTGTGTCGGTGAGTCTGGTGGACGGGGAGCCGAGCTAGCTTGAAATACAGATTCTTATGCTTTTGCATTGGATTGGCTCCCTGATGTGGTTTCTTGGGAATCTTGAAATCTGGGCATAACACTATCTAGGAAAACTGATACCCACATGTAAAGGAATGAAGTTGGACCCTCGCCAGACACCATATACAAAATTGACTCAAAATGAATCAATGCCAAAATGTAAGAGGTAAAACTATAAAACACTTAGGGGAAAACTTTATGTCATTGGTTTGCAATTATTTCTTGGATATGATACCAAAAGCATAGGTAACAAATTTTTTTAAAAACATCAATTTGACTACTTAATTTTGACTACATCAAAATTTAAAACTTGTGTACATCAAGTACTAGCAAGTCACTAGCAAGAGAGTTAAGAGGCAATCCATAGAATGGAAGAAAATGTGTACCTGTCATATATCGAATAAGGTGTTAAATGTCAAATTAATAAAGGGTACTCTTATCATTAGAAAAATACAAATGAAAACCACAATGAGATGTCATCTCACATCCATTAGGATGGCTGCTATCAATAAAACAGAAAATAACAAGTGCTGACAAGGATGTGGAGAAATTAAAATCCCTGTGCACTGCTGCTGGGAACATAAAACGGTGCAGCCACTGTGGAAAACAGTGTGGTGGATCCTCAAAAAAATTTAAAAATCAATTACCATATGATCCAGTAATCCTGCTTCTGATATGTAAGCAAAAGAATTGAAAGCAGAAATGCAAATAGCTTTTGTACACTTACAATCACAGCAGCATTACTGACAATAGCCAAAAGGTGAAAGCAATCCAGTGTCCATCAGTAGCTGAATGGATAAGCAAAATGTGACATATACATAGGACAGAATATTATTCAGCCTTAAAAAGGAAGCAAATTCAGACACGTGGTATAATATAGCTTAACCTTGAGGACATTTGGCTCAATATAATCAACCAGTTACAGGACAGATACTGCATGTTTCCATTAATATAAGGTACCTAGTGTTGCCAAATTTATGGAGATAGAAAGTACAATAGTGGTTGCCGGGGTGGGGTGGAAGGAGGAAATAGAGAGATTTTGTTTAATGGGTACCGAGATACAGTTATGGAAGATGAAAAAATTCTTGAGAAGTATAGGTCCACTAATGTCAATATACTTAATGCCACTAAACTGTAAAAGAAAAAAATGATTAAAATGGTAAGTTTTATGTTATGTTTATTTTACCACAAAAGAAAAAGCAAAACTTTCAGTACTTTATAAAACAAAAATTATAGTCAAATAATAACTTAGACTAATGAACAAGAATTCAATATAAATGAAGAAATGGTAAAAAAAAAAAAAGATCAATGAAAAAAGAAAACAGAAAAAGCATATATTTAATAACTCAGATATAAAATGCTGTGTGTATGATTTGGCATAATTTTCTTTTCGTTTGGTGTAATTATAATGAATCGGTATCATAGTGACTCCTATATACAACACTCAGACTTTAGAATTGTGTATCAGGTTCATATATGCCAATTTTAAAAGATCATATCATATTTTGGTGTTTATTTTAAAAACATGTAACAGGGTAAAAGCCTAGACCCTGTGAAATACATCAGCACCAGAGCAATTTATTTCATGATTGTAGGTTGGGTGGTAGAAGGATGTATACTGTATATTCTCAGATTACTCTGCTAGGATTGGTTAGTCAAGGACGGGAAATAAAACAGCCCAGGATTTGGTGAGGCTGAAGGAGATGTGGTTTGTGGACATGCACTTCCTCTGCTCCCTGAACCCCAGGGCCTCCACATGAAACAGGAGAATGGCCAGAGGTCAATGAACTATAACAGAACCTCTGCCAACAATGCAGCTAAAAGACAAAATGTAAAACCATCACAGGCTTTGACAACCGTGATCACTAAGAAAAACAACCTTGGGATTTAAGAATCAATAGGCCATAAAGAAGCTTTAGGGGAAGGTTCAGTAGAAAACTAAGGCCAGAAGCCAACACCCATAGGCTCAAATAGAGAATGGGTGGTTATGATATGAATCAACGAGTGTTCCTGACTCTTTCTGGGATCATCCATCAGCATTTCAGGTGACTTTGGACATCTCTTCATCTCTTTGAACCTGAACGTCTATATATATA